AAAAAAAAAAAAAAAAACCAGCACCTTGGGAGGCCGAGGCAGGAGGATTGCTTGAGCCCAGGAGTTGGATACCAAAAAATAAAAAACATTAGCTGGAGGTGGTAGTGTGCACCTGTGGTCCTGGGTGCTTGGGAGGCTGAGGCAGGAGGATCACTCAAGCCCAGGTGGGTTGAGGCTGCAGTGAGCCATTATTGCATCACTGCACTCCAGCCTGGGTGATAGAGACCCTAGCTCTTTAAAACAATTGACCAGGTGTGGTGGTGCACACCTGCAGTCCTAGCTGCTTGGGAGGCTGACGCAAGAGGATCGCTTGAGCCAGCAGTTCAATGCGGTAGTGAGCAATGATTGCAAAAGAAATAGAAAATATTAGTGTATCTTAGAAAGTGTGGGTATTACGTGAAGTTTTTGTTTCAAGTATGAGTGTCCACATATGGCATAGAGGTGTGGAATATACTTCTTCTTGTGGGTCACAAAATAATGTGGAAAATACTGACAAGCTGTGCCCCCCAGTATCTGCATCTGTCTCCACAGCTGAAGCAACTCACCACCATCACAAGCACATGCCAAACACACGTGCCCAACGGGGAGATGAGGACTTTGCTTTTTACATTTGCATCATTAAAAGTCCAAGTCAGGGCTAGGTACAGTGGCTCACGCCTGTAATTCCAGCACTTTGGGAGGCTGAGGTGGTCGAGTCACCTGAGGTCAGGAGTTCAAGACCAGCCTGGCCAACATAGTGAAACCCCGTCTCTACTAAAAACACAAAAAGTTAGCTGGGCATGGTGGCGCATGACTGTAATCCCAGCTACCCGGGAAGCTGAGGCAGAAGAATCGCTTGAACACAGGAGGCGGAGGTTGCAGTGAGTCGGTGCCACTGCACTCCAGCCTGGGCAACAGAGTGAGACTCCAGCTCAAAAAAAAAAAAAAGTCCAAGTCAGGGACATTTCCAAAGCCAAGATGAGTTCTCCACTGGAGAGAAAATCACCTGCTGTTTTCGAGTGACAGTTTGGATGTGTGCTCCTCTGGATCTCATGCTGAAACGTGACCTCACATGTGGGAGGCGTTGGGTCACAGGTGTGGCTCCCTTAGATGGCCTGGCACTGTCTCCATAATAATGAGTGAGTTCTTATTCTGTTATTTCACGAGACAGCTACTTGTATAAAAGAGCCTGTCACCTCCTCCTCTCTCTTGCTCCCTCTCACATGTGACATGCCAGGTCCTCCTTTGCCTTCCGCTGTGATTGGAAGCTTCCCGAGGCCTCCCCAGAAACTCTCCTCACCCCAGTCAGGGGTCCGGGGTGAATGGCTGGTCTTCAGAGCAGGCACAACCCCCTCACTGCCTCACCACCATACCCCTTCTTCTCCTCCCTCACAGGAGTCCACATCACTCCTGGGTGGATCACTTGAAGTTGGGAGTTCAAGACCAGCCTGGCCCACATGGCAAGACCCCACCTCTACTAAAAATAATACAATTAGCAGGTGTGGTGGCGAGCACCTGTGATCCCAGCTACTCGGGAGGCTGAGGCAGGAGAATCACTTGAACCTGGGAGACAGAGGTTTCAGTGAGCTGAGATCGTGCCACTGCACTCCAGCCTGGGTGACAGTGCAAGACTCCATCTNCTCTTGTTGCCCAGGCTGGAGTGCAGTGGCCTGATCTCGGCTCACTGCAACCTCCGCCTGCGGGGTTCAAGCGATTCTCCTGCCTCAGCCT